TGTGCGCGCGTGCATCAATGTGTGTGTGTCAGTGTGTGTGTGTGTGTATCAGTGTGTGTGCGTATCAGTGTGTGTGTGTGTGTTAAAAAAAATGGCCAGGCCATATGATACTGAGAAGGTACCGGACCAGAGTCCCAATTTCTCCACTTTATGTGTAAATGTAGGCTAAGCTGCATGAATGACAAAGAGCTGTATAATTCTTCCCCTCCTCTCCCCCATCAAGTAAGCCCCAGTATATAGGGAAAGATCGGACACACTCTGTGGAAGTTGAGGGCAGTGCCTAACTGTGACTCTACCCAGGCAATTGGTTTAAAGGTTCTCACTGCAGCCACTGACACTGGAAGCAGAAGGCAATATCTGGGTGGCACAGTGAAGAGAAAACCAGACACTGCCTTTATGCTATTTTTTAAGGCTCTACAAGGTCTCCCTATGTACCCCAGGCTGGTCCTAAAGTCATGCTCCTTCTGCCTCAGTCTTTAGAGTCAGGGCATCGCAAGCAGGAGCCACCCATCCTGCCTTCCTCCTTTTCGCACTTTCAGATAGAAAATGGAGAAACTAACAAATTTCCTAAGGGCATGCTCATTGAGCCCAGCTGAGCCATTGATTGCATCTGATTGGCGGTGGAACGCTGCCACCTAGTGGCTGCATATTGAAGTACACCCGGAGTTGCTTAACTGTCATGATGTCCTCCAGTGTGTGTGCCTGTGTGTACGCGTGCAGGTGTGCATGCGCACGTATGAACGCACACTGGTCTCTACCACTGAGCTTCTTCCCCACCCAGAGTAGTTCTGGAGTCCTTACCCTAGGCTGTAGACCGGCAGCTGCCTTGGACTCAAGAAGTACAAAATGGCCAATCGCTCCTGTTCCTATGTTTGCTTCCGTACTGTCTTTTGGAGCTAATTTTCACACGCACACAGTAAATTGATTCCAAGTCACGCTGACTCAGCGTTTTCCAGCCCATTCTAAGAAAGGGCAGGGACTCTTCCTAGGACTCACCAGCCGCAGGCTCACAGACCCAGGCTCAGCAACCGTACCAAGGATAAGTGGTTTACCTTTTCTTTTGGATTCCATTCCAGCTTGGTTATAGAAATTAGCGAAGCACAGGCAATCACTTGAAAAGGAGGAGATGGTTAAGGAAACGGCAGAAGAAAACAGGTCCTTTACTATTAACTATTTACTATTAACTACTAATGATCTATTAACACAATCATCACACAACATTTAAATATAATATTTCTACAATTGAATCAGCTATATGAATTTCTTGTCATCTCAGACCCTCAATCCCGACAGTAGCTAAGTTACAACCAGGTTGCAGAAACACTTGCATGGCAAGCTCAGGGCCCTTGGGTTCAGTCCCCAGTTCCACAAAAAAAAAATACACAAATCAATAAATTATAGCATGGAAATGTAGTTATTCCTTAGCAATACTTTTTTGGGTGCTGGGGTGGTTTGACCCCCATAGGCATGATAGATTTGAATGCTTAGTCACCAGGGAATGGAACTCTCTGAGTTCCTAGGGCTCTGGCGCCTTCTTCTGGCTTCTGTGGGTAGCACATAAACTTGGTGCACAGACAAACATGCAAAACACCCATACCCACAAAGTAATAACTTTTTTAAAAAAAAGCTATTTTTCAAATTCAAACTACTACCTTTAAGAAACAGACTTTTGGGAAAAAAAGTGGGGCCCCTTCCTCTCTACCCTGAATTTTAGAGTCAAGAAGTTCCGCTTAAGTCAGGCTTTGGGGAGAAATGTCAAGCCCCTTACGGTCCCGTATGATTCCAGCCACAGAGCCCCTGCCTTCCTTAGGCACTGCTACCTCACAAGGACAGGGGTTGACGTTGGAAGGCAAAGGAAAAAAGCTATGGGGAGAAAGAAGGCTCTAGAAAGTCTATTTTTAAAAATACAGGGAAGCAACTCCAAGTGCTGAGCCAAAGCCACAGTTTGTGCCTCTGCATTTTAGAGCCGACTCGTCTTTTCTTGGTCCCTCCCTTCGCTTTCGGCAAAGCCTAACAATCTCCATCGCTCAGAATAAAAGCAGCCGAGAGCAGAGATGTTTCTTGATAATCTAATGGCCACACTTCTGTTTCTACCAGTTTTAATGTCTATGAATTATCTTATTTATTTACTCCTTACTTCCATCTTCCTTGCACCAGATACCACGCTGTCTGTCTGGGGGTAGATGGGACCACGCTGTCTGTCTGGGGATAGATGGGACCACACTGTCTGGGGTAGATGGGACCACGCTGTCTGTCTGGGGGTAGATGGGACTACGCTGCCTGGTGGTAGATGGGACTACGCTGTCTGGTGGTAGATGGGACCACGCTGTCTGTCTGCCGGTAGATGGGACCACGCTGTCTGTCGGGGGGGTAGATGGGACCACGCTGTCTGGGGATAGATGGGACCACGCTGTCTGTCTGGGGATAGATGGGACCACACTGTCTGGGGTAGATGGGACCACGCTGTCTGTCTGGGGGTAGATGGGACCACACTGTCTGTCTGGGGGTAGATGGGACCACACTGTCTGGGGTAGATGGGACCACGCTGTTTGTGGGTAGATGAGACCATGCTGTCTGTCTGGGGGTAGATGGGACTACGCTGTCTGGGGGTAGATGGGACCACGCTGTCTGGGGGTAGATGGG